TTTTTTTTTTTTTTTAATTGAATTACATAATATTATCTATACAATTTAATATATCATATAAACTTATGATGTGAATGAATCAAATGTCATTAAGTCTCTTTAAAAAATACTACAAAAACTACCTCATAATACTTTTCTAATAAAATATATACTTGAATAATGAATATAAAGAATATATCATTCATGTCCTAATGTGTAAGTGTGGCCAAAAAGGTAGCTTTACTTATACTACTTTGCTCAGAATTGAATAATAATTTTAAAGGGTCATATTTTAATGCATTAAGGACACTAAGATAGGTATTATATTTATTTATTTATTTATTATTTTTTTTTTTTTTTTTTTTTTTGATAAATACACTATTTAAGGAACGTCCTGTACAAACTTTTTTAATAAGAGTCTTAAACGGCTTAAACTGTTATGATTATTTTTAAAATTTTGATACGAACATTACAAACGAGTATAGTTTTTGAGTTACCAATTAAAATATGTACATAATATACATAAGATAATAATTTTTTTAAATAATTTTGCAAAACTATACAATAGGTGTAATGTTTAATTTAGTATATATACATTCAAATAATTTTACAAATTATAAAATTTACAGCTTATGTAATATGAATTAGTATCATTTTAAAATTATATATCTTACTAATCTTTATTTCATGGACCAATTGTCTTTAGTATACAAAGTTAAATACATTTTAAACAAGTACTTAAATAGTTGTTCCAATTTTAATTTAAATACACTAAAATATTCAAAGGAAATGAACTATTTAAAAATTTACAAAAATAAAGAATAATCTTAATTTGAAAAGTAGGAGTAACGAGTATGTATATTACCATAGAACACTCTTTAAGTAGTTAAACAAATCCTAATCTTTCTAAAATATTGTCCTTAACTTAATTTAAAATTCTAATTATTCAAATTTAAATAAATTCATAATTAATGAAAAATAAGGGGTATCGTAGGTACTTAAAGTGATTCAACTAATATAATTTAAATTTATACAGCCTGATATTTTTACTAATTTTTAATAATAACGATGCATTTTTCTTTATTCCTAAATATCATATGATGCATCAATAATTAATAAACATACAATTATTTTAACATAATTATCTACCTACTGTGGCACTACGCTTTTACTTTGATTGTGCGCAGTTGGTTTATAATGAATGGTTATTATTTTTATTGTCGTGGTAGTTACACAAACTCGTTAATAATTGTATCTGTACTTATTTCTTATGCATACATTTATTATAGGGAGGTGAAATGGTTATATCAATATTAGACGACATAGGATCTGCTATGGGAATACTAATGATCACAACTTTTGAAACTATATTGATATTCGGCGTTTATGGTGTAAGTGAATTTTGCGCCGATTTAACGTTCATGTCGAATAAGCCACCTTCCATCATACTGAAGTTACTGTTCATCGGTGGCCCAGTATTTACAATCGTAAGACTAGTGTTGATGTTACGTTAAAATAATATAATACGGTTACAATTTCAATATCACCACCAAATTTTTTTTCCGATCAATATATTAGCTATTTTTTATTATTATTGTCACGCATAATTTCATTATAAAAAAATATTATATTATCATAACTAGGTACCTACATAAAAGTTAAAATAATTTCAAACGTTTTATTTTTATCTTTTATTTTATATGTTGCAAAGAATATGATACTTGCATGTAGTTTCTCTTGGATTCCTCCGAGTTTTCAGAACGTAAGTTATCCAGTTACGATGTATATAATCACGTGGATTGTAGCAATGTTTACGTTAATGATTATAGTGTCAACGGCTGTATATACAACTGTGGAATTCACAAAAAAAAAGGTTATCAATTATCATTTTAAATTTAAAAAATGTATATATACTATAAAGTAGGTAATAGGTATATATTACGCGTATTCTATGTATACACTATATATTTATGTCCTAAAAATTCCACGTCCCTATGGAAAATCAGACTTTATATTATGTAATATTTTCAACAGTCGACCGTAGTTATAAACAAATTCAATTTTAATAGCATACATTTCAACAAAAATATAAATTATGCGCTTCAGTTTTTATTTTAATATTTTAATTTTTAAGTAATTTTAGATTTGAGTAAAATATTAGATATATTGGTTTTACGATAATGTGCTTTTTCTTTTTTTTTCTATTACTTATTGAATTAAATAATTCTTTTATTTTTCGAATTTGAGTGTGGCTTCTTGGTACCTAAGTATAAAATTGTATTATGTTGGTACTTAAGGATGTCAAAAATAAAAATTAAAAAAGAGAAAGTATAGGTAAGAACCGCTCTGCTATACTGTTTGTATCATTTTTGTCCACATTCTCTTGTTTTCTTTTTTAATGTTGATAAAAATATCACTCAAAAAGCTTTAAATTATAATATGAGATCTTACTCAATTTATTTTTATAGGAATTTAAATTTATTAAAAATAAATTAACATAATTTTGTGTTACATTACACCTGTGTAATGAACTAATATATAGTAAAATATTTATTTTTTTTCATACTATTTCATTATTTAATTTAGCACTTAATTTTGCATAAACATAACTATATTTATACATCGCTATAATAAAGTGCATTCGCTATAAATAAAACCTGGCATTAAACTAATATCAACTTTAATAAAATTATCTATTATTGAAAACAATAACATTCAGACCAAAAATATTATAAATATTTTAGTAAGTTGTATTTCAAATTGTTACTTGTTAAATTCCCTTAAAAGCTGTATAAAATAGTTTCAATTTAAATAGCTAATGATTATCCTAAACTAACCCTTAGCCTAACCTTAGCATAACTCTCAAAATATTAACCAAGTCCAAACACGAGTAAATTAAGTGTTTTTATGACACACTGACACATAAGTTAAAACTATTTATGAACCAAAAGATCTTATATTTTCATTGAACAGAATTTTTTTGGATCTTTCAAACCTACTGATCGATGGGTACCTGACCTAAATGATTCGCTGATTAATAATGAACTGGCCGCGATGACAGTTGAAGAAGAAAAAATGACTCTTGATGATTCTAACCAGTTAGTATTTGGGATTGGAAAACCTAAAATATACATGAAAATAGACACAGCAACACAAACAGGCGAAACAAATAATCAACAGTTAGGTAATAAACTTTTAATTTTAATTAAATAAAAAGGTTATAGGCTATTACCGTTATTTTTATTAAAAACCAATTTAATCTAATAATTAATTAAGTATTATATTCAGAGGCTATAAAAAAAATACATACCTATCCTACCTATTTATTATTAAAAACATGTTATTCAATTATATTTTTCTATCAATCGAATAAAATATTTATAAATTATTTCTATTTTTTGATATGAGAATAAAATAGTTAAAAATAAAGTATAAAATAAATAATTTACTTATTGCTATAATCACACGTATAGTTTATAAGATTTGTTTGTATAAATTTAACATTGTATTACATTAATTTATTGTTAAAAATTGTAACTTAATATTTCAAAAATAAATTAAATATACATTATATATATATATATATATGTGTGTGTGTGTGTGTGTGTGTATTGTTATTTTTAACAGAACATATTGGAATATCAAATGAACTATTACAACAATTTTACTTAGATGTATTGAAGACCACTAATACGCCGTTTGAGATTGAAAGGAGACATAATGAAACCAAAGCACTTGCTTGGAATAACATAAGATGCGCGGAATATTTAGTCGACATAGGACTAGTGGAAAAATATGTTCAAACTGAATAGATATCTGTTAACTATGATGTTTCAAACAATATAAGTCAAATATTTCATATTTAATATACCTCTTACATAATATTTTTGACTTCTTAATTATTATAAAATTAAATAAGCAAGTTAAAATTATTTGGTTTAATACTGTACAGCTAACAGGTAGATAGTAAAAATGTATATTGACAAATAAAAATTTATCCAGTAGAAGCGTGATTATATCTACTTACTTAAGTTAACGTTGTGTTTGTTATCGCTTATGTATGGTGGCTAGTGACTTTCCTATTATTCAAATAGGTAACTAGCATAGGTACTTTAACAGTATCTAGGTATAATATAATTTTCTCGGGAGGTGATTTACGAAGGTATAGGTATCTACGTTAACTTATTAAAGAAAATTTAATCAAATAAATTACTAAGTTAATTTAGAAATATATTATTACCTATAAATAAACTAGTTCAAATATCCACTGTAATAACTTAGCTTTTTCCAGCTTATTTGAAACATATTACATACTTAATATTTATTTATATATATAAATATATTTATAATATATATCTAAATTCCTCATCAATTAATTATTATTATTTTTTTCATTCACATTAAATGGTCTTAACAAAATATTTAGTTAGCATTTAAAATTAGGAAATCGCATGATCGCTGTGTGTAAATGTGACCCAGCCAATTTACATAAGGTCTCCATGTGAATAAGGTAATTTAAAAAAAATAACTATATGAACGACCGGCTAATTCTTTTTAACCCGGTAAAAGTTAATATTTTTCTACATATTAAATTTGGACTTAAATAGTTAATATCCGTTCTAAACATTGGCTTTTACAAGTATCTCGATTTATTATTTTTTTTTCATTTGATCACTTGCCTACCTTTGGTAACTAATAACTGGTGAATTTATTTTAGTGAATAGTTAAATTAATTGTATGGTTATTAAGCCAATCGTTACTTTTCCTTAATAGGTACTTACCATAGCTTTTACAACAATACCTACTGCCTATTAAATAAGATTGGATGAAATTAGTAATTACACACTGACTTACATTCCACTGTTAGCATTTCGTTGTCGTTTCGCTATACAAAATATTCATATCAAACGACGCGGACGTCGTACGAACATTTTGATCGAGGCAGCCCTATCTAGCGGACTAAAGGACCTACACGACATGTGTCATACGCGTTTTGTCGTGATAACGTCGACAATCGATGATAACAATTGTCGGTAGCGGCGATTTCGCACTCGGCTCTGGCAACTGTACCTCGCGATTTCTCAAAAAGCACCAACGTTTTAGGTGTCGTGCGTAACATATTAAACATGGCGTTGTTCGCTAAATACTTGAGGATCGGCAGTACTGTTAAGCACGGGTAAGTGTTTGTTTTGATTCAACTATACTTAACGAAATAATCCACAAGCTTTAATACAGTTTTAATATATTATTATTTACTTTCGTGTCTATTGTCTGAAAGTTTGAGTCATACGTATTTGCTAGTCACACATTAGGCACATTTAAGAAGGTCAACACGAGTTGTTATACTAAAATGTTCACGGTCAGGTACGGTTTTCATGCAGCGATTAAACATCAACCATGTTCCTCGCCCGTAGATGACGCGTTTAGACTCTTCTGATAAAGTACCTATACAAGACTTAATTGGTTTTTTTTCATTTCCAACATTCTCATAATTTTGTTGTGTCATATACTTTAGTACAACTATGCCCACTACCTTCTACTTTGAATATATCCATAGAATTGGACAGCATTATAAGTATAATGACTTTTCACTAGTATAACCTATGAATAATGTGTTAGGTGTATTTAGTAGATGATTTAGTGTTTGATTGTTATTTATTAGACGTATAAATCAAATTTATACATTCATTAAAATGTCATAAGTGTTTTATCAACTTTAATGATTTGACATTTTTTATTTAGTATTACTTAATGTATTTTCTTTTCTAGAATTTGATATTGTATATTGCACTGTGATTGTAATATTTAATCTAATCAGATCAAAATTAAGTATGTTATATGTACCAAAGCATGTTATAATTTGTATTATGTAATAGTGGCTAGGTAATAATAAACCAATTCAAATTTTTATTAATATTAAAAATGTTCTTCTGCTTAAAATTAATTATTGATATACTTATATAACATTTTTGATTTTTTTTTAGAATTCAAGCATTTCCACAGTTATCAGCAGCTAAATATAGTGTATATCCGCCACATTTTTCTGAACCAATCTATAAAAAACAAGACTTAGATAAGATTTATGAATCTGGTGAGATTGAGAATTACAAACTAATTCCATATAAAGCAGCTAGAAGTAATGAAACTTGTTCAGTATTCCATGATCCCATAGTTGCGTAAGTATTAATTTATTATTATAATATATAAAGGATAAGAAATAATTTTTTGAAATTGTAAAAGTTGAAATAAAAATTTAAATTTACTTAACTATTATATATATATATTTTTTTTTCATTAATTTTAGTGCTTGAGCACTGCCATAAAACAATATTTTAATTAAAGTACATTTTTTTATAGTATCATTAAAGATCAATGCAAATCTGTAAACAACAAAATATTTTTTGGTTTCAAAAAATCAAAAAGATGTTTTATTGTTTAAACTTTTAAAATTTAAATCATTAGTGAACATTAATTAATAATGTTATTTTATACTCATAAAAATAGACATTTTTTTTTTTGAATAATTTTATTTTAACTTATGCAATTATTTAGACTATTAAAACTATTATAAACATGTATACCACTTATGTTTATTTATCAATATTTTTATTGAAACTATATATTTTTTTTTTCAGAAAATTTATAAACTACATGCTTAAAAAAGGACAAAAAAAATTAGCCAGGGGAGTTTTAGAAAAAGTATGTGACAAAAGTTAATTATTTATAAATTTTACTATAATAATAGAACTGGACTTAGATTATTTAATAATATATGATATATATTTCAAATGTAACACATATTTAAAAATTATATTTTCTGAATTAATAAAGATTAAGAACACTTAAAATGGTCAGTGTCTATTCATTATATACTTATCATAAGCTATACACTTCTGTATTATCCAAGAAAAAAATATAAATATATTTCTCTGTAAAATTATGATGATCATTAGCTTTTAAAGTTGGATTTAAAAACTCATCAATAATATCTATATTTCAACTAATAATAAACATGTAGGATCTAGGAGAAGAAAATTAATTTATTACAGAAACTATTTTGCTTTATTTATTAAGTTATTCAAATAAATTCCAATTGAATTTAGGTCTTATTATAAGATATAAATAATTAAAACGATATTCTTTTTTTAATTGTATTTTTCTATCAAAATAATTTAGCATACTTGAGTTTCACACTGTGCACATTAGATGATTTGTCAATGAAATTTATCTGCTATCCAATTTTAGAGGATGAGTCCAAAGTTTGAAAGTGACTCTAATTTAATTGCAGTTTGCTCATCCAACAGGTTTAATAAAATAAATGGATGTTTATTTAATGTAAGATTCTTAGAACAAGTATCTTACATTGAATGAATCACTCTGTATATATTTACACTATTAATAATTCTTTAGTCGATTTTGCTATTTTATCTTTGTTTATGGCATATAATCCACTCTACCTAATATAGCATCAGAATCAATACTTTTATAGATCTTAATAATGCAAATTTTAATATTTATTTTTATACTAATGCTCTTTGCTAGGTAATCAAAATTTCTTATACTTTTTTGTATAGATTATAATAATAAATTTTGTTTTTATAAATTAAAAACATTTATTTTATTTTTTTATTTTTTCATAGACCTTTGAAAAAATAAAAAAGATACAGCTAGAGAAGTATAATAGAGAAACTGATCCTGAGAAAAAAGCTTCAATAATTATAGATCCTGTAGTTATACTGAAAAAAGCAGTTGCTAACTGCAAACCACTTTTGAAATTAACTGCAGTAAAACGAGGAGGATCTTTTTACCAGGTTTGATCTATTTTTACTACAAAACAAAACAATTTTTCATTATTCAAAAAATATTTTAAACGTATTTAAAATTTTTATAGTATTTCATATTTTCTTAAACTCTTTTTTTTCTTTTTGATGTTATTCCTATTACCTATGTTTTATATGCTCTCTAATTTTATTTTTATCAATGGTATTCAAATCCAGAAAGTGATTAACACTATTTAATTTGTTTTCATTTTTTTATTATCCTTATTAACTGTGAAATATATTATGTTATCACATTGTTTGAAGTTAAAATATTTCCAATTAAATTAATGAAAAATATTTTACTAAAACTGTATTAATTTTGATATTTTGAATTTCAAAAGCCATAATTACATTAAAATTATTAATGGTTTTTATTTAAGGTTCCAGTTCCAATAACAGATAAAGAATCTACATTTTATGCAATGAGATGGTTTGTACATTGTGGACGCGAAAAAGATAAATCCATTAGTTTTCCTGACTTTATGGCCAGTGAATTAATCAACGCATCTAATAATGATGTAAGAATATAAGTCAATTTGAATTTTGAACTATGTGACCAATAAATAAAAATTTTATAATATTTGATATTTGGTCAAAACATTGAACTAAAGATATTAATGAAACTACTGCCTTAACACACTTTAAATTTTATATTTATTTTTAGGGAAAAGTTGTGAAAAAGAAACTGGATTTGCATAAACAATGTGAAGCAAACAGAGCATACGCTCACTACCGTTTTAGTTAATTCTTAAACATGTTATACAGTAATTAATTAGAAATAAGTTATGAAATTAATATTTTTGAAATGTAAATTGTACGATTAAATTTGTTCTTTATGTTAACTATTATTTTTGCTTTATATTATTGATTTTTTTTTGAATATAAAAAAAATTTACCCTTTAATTGTGGTTATACAGATATAATTAGGTTTTTGATAGCTCTTGTATGCTTGGATTTTTATAATTTTACACTGGACAATTCAAAATAACATGATTATTTCTATGAACTAGATTGATAACAGAAATTATGTGTGTTTTCAAATTTGTTCTTTTTGTCATATTATCAATCATGACAAGTATAATTACATCTTTAAATGCAAATTTAAGAGAATGAATAATACACTATTATCATATTTTTTTTTAAAAAGTTAAACCCATATTATTTTGTCATCTCAATAACTTATTAAAATATTAACATATTTTAGTTGAATTAAATTTTTTTAAATTTTTAATAATGTAGACTATACTATAAAGGTGATTTTTTTACCATTGAACACTCATTACTTCAAAATCTATTAATGTTCTTGAAAATATTTTTTTAATATTTTTTATCATTATTTTTTGGGGATATTATGATACGAAAAATTTATATTTAAACAGGTAGTTCTTAAGTTACAAGTATTAAAAATTTAGGTGAATAGATAAGTAGATCAACATTTTGCTGGGTATTCTTGTAACACTCAACTTTTCTCACCTAATCGTTAAATACGTAAAACTAAAAAAAAATACTCATATCAAATAATATTATGTTTCAGAATATGTTATTAAAAATGTATATCGTCATTCAAAAAAGTAAATAACTTAAAATGTATATGATAATAAAAATTTAAAAAATTTTGTTTTAATTTGATAGCAAATTTACAAGAAAAATATTTTCAAAGATGTTATTTTGAGAGGACGAATGCTGTTTGATTAAAGAACCATCTATTATATTGTAATATTATAATATTTTATATTATTTTTGGTTATTCTTAGTAATAATAGTTGTTCAAATTTTACCAAATCTGGCATAATACAAATATTAATGCTAATAATAATAAAAAAATAAAATAGATATGGTTCTTAAATTAATTATGTAAAAAACTACTCGTATCCAGTTGCTGACACCTTAATTCACCAACAATACCTGATGTTCCAACTCCCAGTTCACACAACATTTTTATATATTAACTCAATGCTATTAAAGAACAACAGTTATTTTTAGAATCTGAGCAGAGTAAGAACGTAGATATCGACTGAACTATGATGTGTATACTTGCTATAGATAGTAAAAGCGCTTTGATTTTAAACTTAGTGGTTGTTTTTGTTAGAAAATTGAATCTAGTTGGAACTTTAGAGGAATTGGTACTGTTTTACTGAATGTTGAGGGTCAAGTGGTTGACTAACAAATATATTAAATTTTAATTCAATGATACATTATTATATATGAAATACTATTGTAAGAAAAACGGTGCGTCAGCTTAATATATTACTAAGTACGTAAACATGTTCATGTTATGTTTTTTTATATAGCTATTTAAGTAATTTATTTCATTTTTACAATTATAATATTATATGGTAGAATGATATAATTTTCTCTAAAAACATTGATTTAATTTTATTATTAGTATTTACTATTTAGTTACTATAATAATTATTATTATATTTATTTATGCCATATTATTACATTTTTGTTAAGTTCATAACACTTTACTAATACCACGGAACAATATAAATAGGTAGGTCCAAATAGATAATACCTTAAAATAATCTACATTATTTTGAAAATGTTATTATATAATTACTAGGTACTAATACTATAAAATTCATAATTTACGTTATATAGACTAGGCATGCAGTAATATATCTCCACAAATAATAATTTTGAATCATGATTAAATAATTAACATCATTATTCATGGTTAAAATATATAATTTTATTTAAATTTGAAAAACGAAAAAGGAATATTCGCAAAAAATAATTTTGTTTGTACATTTTAAGTACGAACTAGTTTTGAGGAATATTACAGTTAGTATATGATTTTAAAACCTTAGCTATAAAAATTGAATATTTTATCAGTTTTTTTTTTTTTAACTTGTCCAACGTCTTGAAAAGTTCTAAAGAAAAATATTTGTGTTAGCAACTCGCATTGTTTTCATTAAATTGATGTCAGCAATTATTAGTATTTTAATAACTATAAATCAGTGTCTGTAGGTAATTGATACGTTATCCGGTTATCATATGTTCCTTCTGTATAGGTACCTACATTTTAAACGTTCGAAAAGAGCGTGTGTACCTATTACCGAGGTTCCAAAATTTTTTTTATGATCCAAGTAATTCTATTGAAAATTAACCATATTAACTCATATTTTTTTCACTTTCAACGTCACGGTCTCAACACCATTTATATGGGCCCCGATCGTCGCCTGTCGGTGTCGACAAATATTGAAATATAGCATTTACTTTGAATGTAGATTATTCATAATTTTGAACTAGCGATGAGATATTGTTTTGAAATCTATCTACATAGGTATCTTTTAAGAATATTTCTACATACCGACAAAAATGTTTAATTTGTAAAAAATGGTAAATCTAACAAACCCCTCTCCCCTAACCATATGTAATCTCCTTTTATGCATAAAATTAATATTTGGTAAAATATGCAATAGGCATTATAACTTTACTATCTTCTTTATTTTGTTTAATTTTTTTTTTTTTTTTTTTTTTAATTAATTTTTATCGGAAATTGTTGCTTCAATGTTCAAACTCTTTTAGATTTTATTTAACTTAAATATTTTGTTTTTGAAATGGTATAAAATATTTTATCTCTTATGTCGTGTCTTTAAAGTACATCTAAAAAAATAAAATTAATGTTAGATAGATATTATTATGTATTTTGGATTGTTTATTGTAAATAATAAAGTGCTTTGTATGGATTTATTGTTCGTATGAATAATATTATTTAAATCTAACATTTACAAATTAATTTTATTTGATTTAATTTTACTGTTTGTTTATTATTAATCAAAAGTTCTGTTATACTTGTTTAATACTGGTAAACAAAGTTAACTATAATTTAGTCATAATATAGACGAAAAGAGATAGTATTAATTTTAATTTATTGATTTATTGGTTGAAATATAATTTCTCTTTCAAAAATAGTCAATATACAAAGGACAGTTATTGACGTATTGTCTATTTGTCTAAGAATATCAGTCGAAGACCGAAGTTGAAGGTTCTTTCAGTCGGTAACAGCAATTTTCCGATAGATCAGCTATTTTTTTAATTTTAAAATTTTAAAACATGTATTATTACAAATTACAATCAGAATAATTAATCTTTTATTATTATTATTATTATTATTATTTAGCTACTGATATTTATTATTTTTTTCTTTAAGTTTTTATAAGATGTAATTAAATTTTAAACAATAAACTGCCGAGAATAATACATAATTTTAGTTCTTAGCACATTTTTATGTACTTACATATTTTGGTTATATAAATGCACTTATTTATTGCATAGTTAATTTTTTAACATAAAATTATATTTTTCTATCATTGAACCAAACTAAACTACTTACTAATTATGTTTAAATTAAAACTAATTATTAATATTCTCAATATATAGGTATCTAATTATTTGCTGTTTTTCGATATTTATTAATTAACTTATAAAAGTCCCATGGTGAACTTTGTGTTAAATTTAAAAAACGTGTTTACCCAGTGAATAATTTTTTATTGACATTTATGCAAGAAGAACTTAGAAAAATGAAAAATATCAATTACTTCAAATAATACCAAAAGAATCTAAATATTTTGAAAATTGTATCATGCACAATAGATCGTCGATGGAGGATGATGATTATGGTCGAGAAGTGTTCGGATAAACAAACAATGAAAGTGAATTTGATTGTTTTATATAATTAAAAATAAAACTAATGTAGCTTAGGTATAGCGTATGAGTATAATGATAAAATAAATATATATGAACTGTTAGAAGTACGTAATATTTAAACTTAAAAATATAAAATAAAAATACTTTTTTTTTTTTTTTCAAAAATATTGTAGTGTCAAAAATCAACGTTCCACTGAATTAGAAATGATCATATTATTTACATTTAGTAAAAGTTTTTGAATTATTTAAAAAAAAATTTTATCTAGTCGAAAACTTGATATAACATAATTATTATTAGCAATTTGCAATAATTTGCTAAACATTAATTTTGCAATTTGTTTTATTTTTATCAACATTTTAACTTTCTATGTTAATAAAAATTTTTTAATAATAATATTAATTAATAACTATTTTATTAAATTAGATATTTATTATTTATTAACCAAAAAATAAAATGATTTTAGAGAAGATAAATATATTATACAATAATTAAAAAAAAAAAATATAGTTTTTACTTTTTAGTTATAAATATTTTAGTTAAATACTTCACGTACCATTTCAGTATTTTACGGTACTATTGATTTATAGTACTCATTTTATTCTTTCTAAAACAAGGACTTAATTTACTTAACATATTTTTTTTAACAAACAATGAATTTAATTAAGAACGACTAGGTTTTACACTTTTTTTTTACAGCAACTTAAAGTTCAAATTTTTATAAAATTCATAAAACCAACAAAAAAATAAAAATAATTTCATAGGCAATTAAAGATTTATAAAATTTTAAATTTATTGAAGGTTCCTCATAGGTTTATCTTACAAGAGTTTAATCTTAAAATTTAAAAAAATACTTGAGCAAAATTTTTTATATTCTTTTTGAGTTCAAATTTTCACCTTGCATGACTGTCACTGTCGGTAATTATTCCTTTTTATATATTCCATATATTTAATCTCAAGTATAAATCATGATGCATGTTTGGTTTCAGACGACATTACAATCACGGCGTGGTGTATCACATTTCTTTTACTCATATTATTAAAATTACTGACGAGTATATGAAATTACAAAATATGTAAAATATCCGGCTCACAGATGATTCTAATATTTTTTTCATATGCTTCATAATAACTAATGTTCTAAGATTCTTGATAAAAACAATATGTAATATATTATCATCATTAAACGGTTAAAAAATAATTTCTGCTTAGTCTTTATTTATATAATAATTAATAAATGTTATTGGTAAAATATTATAGGTATTTAAACGAGTATAATCAATTAAAAGATGAAAAAATTGTTTTAAATTCTTCATTATAATAAAAAAATTTAATAAAAATAAAATATTAAAATATTAAAACGCATAAATAAAAGTGTCCCCTCAAATGTAAAAATGAATATAGAATATACTATATTTATACTACTATATAAATATAGTAGAAGTTGAAATTTAAACTCACATTGAATAGTTTCAAAATATAACATTTCTTGCGTTGATATTAAAAATATTAAAAAAAAAAAACTATTTAATTATACATAAAAAAACATAAATACCTAAAATCCAATAATACCTCTATTATAATACATAAGTTATAAGCAAAGGTCTAGTATGAATTCCTAAATTATTAATTTAAAAAATTAAAATCAGAGTAAAAAAAGTACAAAATGACAAAATACTATAACACTCGTAGTCCGAAAATCTCAAATAACACACCGTGACGTACTAAAATACAGGTTTTGATGACTGCACATTTCTCAATGGTTCATTAAAATTACAATATAAAGCAAATAAAGCAACTAAAACTGCCCTAAGTATCTAAAATAATGTCATGTTCGTAAAACTTAAAATATGGTTTTGAATTCATTCACATTACATATTAAGATAATCCTTAAAGTTAATACGGAAAGTCTGGGAACACTGGATTATACGCTATTTATTGTCTCAAGTCACTATCACCAACACTTGTCAGAACTTGTTGTTTATTATACTTATATGGTGTATATGCAAATAAATATATACAAAGAAGCGTAATTTATAAAGACAAAAATATCAAATTACCATGAAATGTATATTATTCATTATTTATAGGTACATATTTTAGTAAATAAGTAAGTGGGTGTGCAAAAAAAAATATTACAAAAAAAAAAAGTCTGGTGAGTACCATTCTGCTTTACTATACTAAATTCATAATTTAAGTAAAAGTATAAGTCTTCGTGAATAATGTTTTTGATTTATAATGAAATCACTAATGTCGATATTATTCATTTAAATTATGCGTAATTTTGTTTAAATTTTAACTTCAAATTTCTAGAAAAATATTTTGCTTAAAAATCTTAAATATTTTTGAATGTTTATAATACCTAATAACAACCTATAAAGAATTTTGTACAAATTTCAAGCTATTTGGTTGAAATTTTTATCAGCAATAATTAAAATAACCGAATTTTTAGCTGTTTCTAACTGAACGACTAACCGTTTACGCTTATCAATTGTCGCTTAGTGCAACGACATTTTATCGTGATTATAAGTTTTGTTAGATATACTTAGTATTTGTGAACTTCGAAGCGTTACTTATTTTCTAAGGATTGCCGACCTAGGGCATGAAGCATCAAGGTAAAATACGCACCTACAATCAACTTCATATAGTATAAAGTTTTATAATTTGAAGTAATTAATAAGCGTCTTGAATTAAGATGTCTTTTCAACCATTATTTAGACCAATGATATCCAACCTTTTTTGTTCGACGTGCCACTTTGATAAACAATCATGTTTGAGCGGGCTACCAAATATAAAAGTATGAATAAACTCAATCTTAATATTATAATATAATTTTTTTATACATAATTCGAACCAGATTTTTCATTATTAGTAAAGTAAACTCAAGTTCAAATTGCATATTAAATATTTTTTTTATTTTATTATTATTATTAATCTATTACAAAATAAATAAATAAATATAATTTTACTTTTTTTAGAATATTTCGTTTTGTTTAAAAAATTGTAACGGGCCATACAGAATACCTTTGCGGGTCACATAATATGTGGCTTGCGAGCCGCGGATGGGCACCACTGATTTAGACTATCAAAATTAAACTTATAAAAATATGTATTCAATTGTTGTACTTATCTAATACTGTACCACCAAGTTTAATCGAAAACAATTTTAGGTGCCCCTTAGCTATTATTATCATTTTTATTTTTTAAATATTAAGTATTGACTATTGTGTATGTTATTAAAGGGTATGCATTTTTTTATGAAACTAACTACCAGAAAAAAGTTCATTGTGTAGATCTTGTAACTGTTAAATATCTAATTTTTAACTATGATTATTATTTTTTAGTTTATCAATATTCAATGAAACTCCCGATTATACCACTGCACGTGTACGAATTTTTCTAAAATATTTCAGTGTAAATAATATATAAAAAAAAAAAAATATGTATAAGATAATACACATTTTTAGGTACACGACCTCGTGGGTATACAGCCATATTATATTATAGCATATAAAATTAATATTCATCCTTATCTATATATTTATTTATTTTTTATCGAGTCCAGCTGGCACCGGATACGGAGACCATGGCACAATGGATTAAGCATACTTTAGATTCAACACATCAATTTCCCCAGTACAAGAGTTAGTTATGTATAGTTTTATTATTTATTAATGTTTTGGAAACATAAATCAAAGATAAATTATTACCTCTTAAAAATAATAATTTAAGTGGACCACTCAGTGACTCAGTGTATATAACAATTAAAGTTATGTCATAGCAGCATATACCTATCATATTTGCTATAGTTTTTATTTTTTTTTAGATACTTACAAACTTATTATTTAATCATATTGCTTCTTATGTAATTTATTAGTCTTTTAAATATCTCGATTTTCATATTTTTTTAGAGTTTTTACTTGTAAATTACTTATATAAAGTTAAGTTAAAATTGGTTTCATTATTTTTCAATCAATTTAATTAAAAATTAATCTAAAACTTACTATATTATATCTTGTATACAAAAGTAACAGCTTAAATTCAAGCTTGACATTTTTTTTAATCTACAGTAAAATTTGCTAAATTTATAGCGTTTAGATGTATTATGTATTTATTATTAATATTCTTTTAAGCTTCTAATTGAAGATGCAATATAATAAAAGTAAATTACTTAATACATTCATTTTTAAGGAACTATACTAAATATGCCATAAAAAAGTAATATTAAACTTTATTTAAATATTTTTATATAAAATAAATAAGTAAAATAGGTAAAAAAAATGATAATAATAACAAATATAAGTGACTCGTAAAATAATCTCTATGTAACTTAGTTTAAATTAATTTAATATTGTAACTTATTAATTATTATATATGTATATTTTTGAAAATAAAATTTACAAAAAGATTGATTCATGAATAAATTGAATTTTTTCTAACACATTTTACGTAAAACGTAAAAATAAAACTTTTCGTAAATATGTACCTTTTAAAACGATGCGGCGATGCAGGTTTATAAATTATAAGTTTTATTAATATAAATAATACAATATTTTTAATTTTTAATAAAACAGTCAAACGAATGTTTTTGTTAAATAAATAAATTAAAGATTTTATGATCAATAATTAATAAAGAATTAATAATTATTTGGTAGGAATACAATTTTTCACAAATGAAAATAGATTGAGATTTTTATGTCATTTAAATGTATTTGTCTATTTCACAAATTTGAAATCACAAATTATTTAATTTTATATTTAATTTTTCATATGGTATTAGATAAATGTATTCAATAAAATAATACTATCAATTTGAAATAATTTGTTATCCTAAGTCCTAATCATCACACGACATTTTTTTCTTCAAAATATGCCAGGAAAGCTTTTCGATTAAAACTGTAAAATGTCTCTAATGCTGTAGTGCAATCACGAGTGACAGAATTTACATTATCGTATACCATGACTCATTAATGCAATACAATAGAATGTGTATAATTAAAAAAATAGTAAAATACATAAATTGTATGCCATATTACGATATAGTAAGTAGTCTTGTAAAGAATATTTTTATGTTAGATTTTGAATATGTATTTAAATATTTAAAAAGTATTAAAATACTTTTAGAATTTAATATGTTTTTTCTCACTTATTTTTGTCAATTATAGAAATTTTAGAATACATCTGTTCGAATACTTTACAAGATTGCATATAAGTATACTTAACTACACAAATAATATATATATACATACCTATCAGACCTACACTATACTACAATCTGTTTTATATAAATACCTAAGAACCAATAACTAGGGTTAGGATTCATAACATTATGCATTGGTATGTTTTTATTGCGATGTCCTTTTAGTTTTCACAAAATAAATGATTAGTCATTCCACGAATTGGCTCATATTGGCCTACATAATACGACCAGATATTTCGTGTGCGTACGAACTATAGAAGGCAAAAATGAATGTTTTTAATGTATTTAAAAGGACTTGTTGCACAAATCTTGATTTCATATTATAAAGCTATTACGTTTTTATAACTTAAGCTTCATACGATCAGCGATTTTGTTTTTGACGGAAAGACATCGTAAAAACGTATAAAAAAAAATTGCTACGATGTAATAATTGAAAAAAATAAAAGAAGCTCCATTCTCTTTCACTTACTTAAATCGTAGTCTGCACAATATCGATAAATATATTATATTATATTTTATTACATTTCTATCACGTGTTTTAACCGAACGAAATTCGTATTATTTTTTTGACACATTGTACATCGTAAATTCTAGTCCTAACCTAAAACAATAATACCATTGGCGACGGAGTACGTTAAAAGAAGATAAAAAAAAAAAAAGGAAAAAAAAAGGCATTGCGTTTTTCACGACGGGGACACTCGTGTGGTGCGCCGCCATCTGCTGCCGCCGATGCCCAAGAAACGGCGTGGCGGGTGTTGGACACCTGCTGAATGCCATCAGTCCCGGTCGGCCTCAGCGCACGCGGCTGCTACGTTTGCGTACCGCCGCCAGACGGACAGGAAATCGGCCACCGCCGCCGGTTCGTTTCGCTGATAAGCGGCGTGGACAGTAGTCACGGCCGCCGGCCCACCGCCGCCGAGCGCGGTGGCCGTGCACTGGAACCAACACTTGATCCTCTGGTGAGCGTGCCGACGCCGCCCGACCGCCGAGGCCGGGCCGTGCCGCTGTTGCTGCTGCCGCTGCTGCTGCTGTTCGTCCGGCTGCCGGTGCAGGGCCATCAGCTTGGCCTTGAGACGTTCCAGAAACCCGGGCGGCGGGAATTCCGACTGCCTGTCCGCGCCCGACTTGTGAAGCATGCACCACGGGTGGATGACAAACAACAGGTTCCGGTCGGGCTGTCCTATCCAGCCGCCGCCGTGGTTCGTAACGGACACGGTAGACGTGTGCTCTGCGGCAGTGGTCGATGGATTCCCGCCGCTCGGGTGGCCTGCTCTTCCGGCCGACCCGCGACCGGACCGTTCAGATCCGGCCGTCGACGAAACCTCCGCTTCGTCCGTTTCGTCCACCTCGTCAGCTCGCTTCGAATTTTCCGCTTCCTCCGATTTTCCCACTGCCTCTCCCTGCGCTGCCGCTGTCGTCGATCGTTTCTGCGACAGAGCTAAATTCGAGTGGACATGAGTATCGTGCTAAAAGTAACGGCCATAGTATTTTTATCACAATGACGGCGCCGTGGAAGTAATGCGTAAACGGTTTCCGCGGCGCCGTCAATTAAACCGGAAAAAAATTATTATTTAATAAAGATCAAAAGTGGTTAAGAAAAGTTAAGTGAACACAAAATCGGCGAGTTAGAAATTAATAGTGAAGTTCTATATTTTATCTAAATTCTATGTAAAATAATATTATTTAATCAAGAAACAGAACAAAAATAATGGTATATTAGTTATTATTAGTAATATAGAATTAAATTATTTTTCATATAAAACGGTCGAGACCAAAAATTTAAAAATCAACTTAAAAAAAAGCTAAGTTATTACAACAAATCGATTAATTTGTTGAGTAAAAAATAAATAATCTTTCAGCATAAGTTTAATAACTGCCTTTTTTAATAACTATTAGAGAGAAGAGACATATTGATCATTATTAAAAAAAAAAAAAAAATATTGATTATCAACAGTTTTGATCGATAGATACTTGCTTCAACTTTTTAAACGCGTAATACTTTATTTAATACATCGTTTTGAAACCAGAATAATTTTAATCTAACACTCCGAACTCTCTGCATAACTGTCATCGATTTCATCATAAAAGTGAGTTGACCATCCCAATAATATACATTTATAAATTACTCATGAATATATTTACATCATTCTATCATTACTATACATTTTTTTTTTTTTTTTTTGTCATGAAAAACTAATAATAAAAATTTTCAAAATAAAAATATAAGTAATAATTGATTTTAACTTATAGCAATTTTTAAAATTTGATTTGTGAGTATTAAATATTGTATAATATTATGATTGACTTGGGCCTTTCTTCCATAGAACAATTATTTAATTAGTTTTTTTTCTAAATAAAAGATTATACTTTATTAAAATATAATTAATACGTCACTATGAATATGATATTTCATAATTTATACACGGAAATCTGAATAGTAATGAAAATCCATAATTTTAAAATCTTAAAACTAATATATATTATATAAATGTAATAATTTATTACTTAAAACAACCAATTTAGTTAGTATAGAATAAAAGTTTTCGGTGGCCATCGATTTTTGCGTTAATAGTTATTCGTTAATATTTATTATAAAAAAGTAGGTGATTCATAATAATATTAATATGTTCCTGCAGTTCGCCGTACGCAAATATTACGGGAAACGTTTCCGGTTACAGTAGTATGAATATTTTATCTGTCTGGTGTTCATTATAATATTATATAGTTTATCAATAACGTCGTTCTACACTTGCAGTCAAAAATGTTTGAATCATAGTAAAAATCATAGAGTGATGTTACGTTTCTCGTAACGTATAATAATATAGTCATCAAAATAATAATATGTTAGTTGAATCCAGTCTATTATTATTTGTATATTACATGATCAACATTATATAACATAAAATATATAATACAGGATAATTCAACACACACCACAGTTACCCTTTATATTCTCTCAATAGAAATATGACTTTTTGAAATGTTCAAAAATACTTAAACACCATATTTTAAAATACTTCAGATTTTTCATATTAGTTAAAAATTAGTGTCTTATGGAAACAAAACTTCTATTTTCAAATAAGATCTCCATTCAACATTAAATTGTCAAGCGATTAATTTTTCTGAACATTTTGACGTATCAAAATCAAAATTCAAACAATTAGTTGGAGTTATTTAACTTTGTGTAATAAGGATTAATGGTTAGAAATATAAAGATTTTGGTAAAAATTTTAATAATTAATATTAATCTATTATCATTCATAATTTATAATAATGGTTCAAGTATAGTAAACACTAGTTCAAATATTGCATCATTTGAGTATTTCATATTTTTTAAAACAAGTTTTTAAGGAATTTTATCTTTAGTATAAACATTAATACGAGTATAAAAATTACAATAAGAAAGTAGGTTGTCATTTGAAACACCAAAGTTTGCATCTTTACAGGACACTTTTCAAAAATTACGAACAATTTTAGAATTTGAAAAGTAAAATAATTTTAAAATTTCAAAAATCAAAATTTGTAATTTGAATTTATTATTTAAAGAAAAATAGGGTGAGCGTGATTGTGGTGAATCACTCAGTAATAAAGCTGTTCTCCGAGGATTACAACTAACGATATAAGCTATAATACGCTGTCAGCAAATATTATAATGTTGTCAAATATTTATTTATTTTTTTTTTTTGTGTTAAAAATTACATAATATTTATGTTTACTATTTTGAAACTGTAAATAACTTATAAACCAAAAAACCGCGTGAAAAATTTACATTCTTTGTAAGTATAATGTATATCACTTATCATATTTATGGTAATAATCATTTTTCTGTGAATTCAATTTAGGTTTTATAGTTTTAATTATTTAGTTAAATAGATTATTTTATAATGTATTCAGTATTGATTGGTTTTAATACTTAATAATAATAATAATTTTAATATTATTTAATAACCATTAAATATGATAATATATTTATGTTGTAAATTATTTTATATCTATTAGCTAATATACTTTTAAAATAATATGTATTCTTTAATTATTAATAATATGGTATAGGTATTAAATAAAACCATTATTGTTAAATAAGATATAATATATATAAATATATTAAATGTATTGACAATTTGTTTTAACTGTATTTTACTCAGTTACTTAATAAAATAATAATGATATATTTAATTTAAGTAATTTATTTTTAATTGTTTTTCTTAAGTTAAAAATCTTAACAGTAAGCTTTTCTTCTATATTCAGTACCACTGCAATAATAGATAATACTATAACAGAACATTAATACATAGAATGAAAAATACATTGGTTATTATAAAACTATAAATGAAGTTAATAAATAATTATGATTTTTACTCTATTCAGTATGATTTTTATTGTACCTATAGAAGTATCAAGTAATTATGTTGTAGTAATGAATGTTATAAAAATGTTTAATACTTACATTTACATTTTGTTTCCGATTCTTCGTTTTCAAAAATAGATATTAGTTGTAAAAAGTTTGAAGATGCCTCACCAACTATTGTACTTTTATGTCTTTTGGTTAATTTTACATTTCCTTCATTTTCATATAATTTTAAACTATTATTATCACTGAAGTTGTCGGACATGATTTATTATGACGACAATTTAATAGAGCAAACTATCAGCACGTCATGTACACCCGAGTTGCAACATTAAATTAACGCCAGTTATTCTTTTCAAAAACCTTATTACTTCCACTTTTTATTGTGGTAAGTGTAAACCATTAAGTAGCTGTAATAATAATTGAAATACTTATATCTGCTTTTAATCACGTACAAGGTATGTTACTGATTCAATAGCTCATGTTTTTAATTGTTTTGAAATTACGCACGGCACACGCTACACCATTGATACATATCAGATTAGTATTAATTATTCGTAATATATTAGTGTACATAACGTATAATTTATAAATAATAGCAAATAGGTACTTATGTAATGATGTCATATTGATATTGAAACAAACATGTATGATTTTTTTTTTTTTAATTATGTTTTCATAATTTACTATTTTATTAGTTTAGATGTAGGTACTTATATATTGTTAATGAATTTATATTTCAGAGTTGATATTGTACTATAATATATTATGTTGTTTCTTTAATTTTAACGTAATCAACTTTCATTAAATTATTATAGTATAAAGATATTTACTTTTATCAGAAAAATTTTAAGAGTAAAAAAAATTTAAAAAAATAGTTATAGTACCAAATAATTAGTAACCGTTAAATTAGGTATCTTGATGACATATTTAAATTGAATAATAAATTTAAAAAAAGGTAGGTGGATACTGCTTTGCTATACATTAGATGTCGAGTGGATAACTATTATAACCTATAGGTGTATTAAAATATGAATTCAATGATATATAATTGTACACAAAAAACGATTCTGAACAAAAACGGCCTATAAGCCTATGTCATTAAAAAATTTTTGATACCTATATCTATTAAGTACCTACTAATTTATTTATTTTACTTTTAATGTTATAGATCAGGGGTGGGTAACTCAAAACTACTTGAGGACCAATATCTAGGAAATTAAAATCTAGCAGGCTAGAACATAGAGTACAAAAAAAAGATATTCAAAATATACATTTTAATTAGCATTTATTTTGTTTATAATGTGAACTTTAAACTTTAAAATTGTATGATGTAATTTGAAAATGTAGCATGGATAAAAAAGGCTCGCCAGCCGCCAGTTGCTCTCTCCTGTTATAGGTAATAGGTTATAATTGTTCCCGAAAATATTGCAATAATATATTGTATATTATTAGTATTTAACTATTATAATAATATATTTTTATTCCATAATATATTAATTTTTTCATCATAATATGTAATAACATATTTTTGTAAATACCCGAAAACAGTAAAAATTGAGTACCTGTAAACAGTACATAATATTTTAAAAATAATAAGTGTTATTGTGTATAGTGAAATTTATAATAATATAAAATACATAAAAGTTTCCATGAAAATGTTTGTTAAATTATAACAAAATAATTAACGTATCATAATTTATCGTTAAATAAGTAATTTCGTTAATACTTATGAAAAATCTTATGTTAAATTTTCAAAACTTAACACAAAAATAAAATATTCATGAATGTTTTTACAAAAAATTTTTAAGGATAAATAATTACTTAAGTAGTGAATATCAAATTTTGTGAATACTTTGAACTTTAAATACTCAAAAAAAGTTAATTTGGCTTTCCGGTAGAATTTTTTTTCACATATAAATTGAATAGCTTGTATTTAATTTTTAAATCTTAGATATAAAAACAAAAACTTTTATGAATTTCTAATTACAAAATAATTTACTAATTTTCGTGATTTTCGCAATTTTTATGAATTTTTTTTTAAATTTTAACTTTAAATGTTTATTAAAAAATTACTATAACTATAGATTTTCGAGATTTTTTAATCAATAAATTAATAACTTAGAAGGAGCTTTATATTATACTTCAAGCATTTCTATCTAGCAAATAATTTTGAAGTGACATTTATAAAATAAAAACTAAAAAAAAATAAAATTTTCTTAATTCCTCAAAAATAATCGAAATATTTTTAAAAATGTTATTCTAAATAAAAAATGATACCTAATACAACATTTGATGAAAATTTAAAGTGTCTGCAGTAATTTGTTTTTTGAATTAAATCAAAAAAACCAAATCGATTTTGTTAAAAATTGGATTTCTATGAAATTTCTGTATTTTTTTTTTTAATTTTGAGTTTATTTTATCAATTATAAAAGTAAATATTGGGAATTTTTATGTTTGAATTTTATAAAGTACAATTTAGATCCAATTTTATATCTAAAAACTTATCCATTTTCGAAAATTAAAGCATTTAATCGTCTATTTATTGTATACTCTTACACAAAATAAAGTAGTTTAGATTCATCCTAGAAATTTTTTTAAATAATTATAAAAATATACCAGTATTTTTTGAATTGCATGATGAATTTTCAAATTTTATTTGGATTTGATTAAATCTCAATTATAAGCAATCAATTTTTTTATTATAATATAATAAAAAGTACAAATACTCGTACGTCGCTAGCGACTGTTGTAAATACTATGCATTGTCAACTAAGTTTTATTCAGAATTGTTTTGTTAGTATTTTAGTTTATTATTATTATTATTTTCAAACGTATAATAATAATTATACATTTATATGACACTAACTTGTTCAAGTGTCTATTTAATATCTTTGTTTTAAATCTTGTTCATTTTTTTTATTATTTAATTCTAGTAGTATTTCACTTTTATACTTTATATAATATTTCAAACAATTGTAGCCATAATCATGATTGTGATAATTATCTTAATATATTGGTTATTAGATACTTTAACTAGTATCCCACAGTTTTGAATGTTTTTAAGTGTCACGAGTTATGTATCTCTATTTTCTTAGCATCAATAAAATTAAATAACTTTTAAGCGCGTATTAATAAATTATTATTAAGTACTTATTAGATATATCTAAAACAATTACATACATTTTTTTCTTACAATGAATTAATGATTTTAGTATGGAATCTAAAAAGTAGTATCAACCTGTTGTTTATTAAAAAAAAACTCTGATTTATTGATTATGTTAAGTTTAGTGTTGAACATTACAACATATCTGGTGATTATTTTTGAATTTCTTTTAAAGTATCTGTATATTGAAAATGAAGGTAAACTACTCTTTGAAAATATTTTGTATAACGTCATGTTCATTTTAAATAGTGCCTTCTTAAAAAAAAAGTGTCAACTATTTTCTATACCCACTTATTACAAATTTAATTAAATAAATATAGTAAGTTAATGTAGTCAATAGGTATAGTTACTAAAATTTATTAGGTACCTTTATAGTTGAAAAGATATCATAAACTTTTTAATGATAAATTTTAAAATATAATAAATTACATATACACTATACACACATATACACGTGTAAGATTTTTCTTCAGAATGTATTCTTATAATATTAGTATACTACAATATACATAAAATATATAATTTTATCTACTATGTATAATTGTATATAGTTAGTTGTATAAATATATTAAATCTTTATCTAAAAAGCAGAAGAACCAGCACATACCTAAAAAAATGAATTAAATCAGCAGTAGAAGAAAGAGGCTAGGCTTTAACCGTTTTCATTCTAAAATAGTGTCGTAATAAAGGTTTTTTAGGTTTAGGGTAATATATATATATATATACTTATCTAGATTTTTTATAGAGATACCAATTACATTTTATTATGCAGGTACCTACTACTTAAAAAAAACGACATATGTTTGTACTTAAATTGTTTTTATATCTCAGTTAATGGATAATCATAATTTTAAATTGTACTTGTACTTCTTAAATTAAATTATGTATCCAATCTCTGATTTTAGTGGTCATACAATGTGCAGCATTTCAAAAATTTAAATATGTTTGTATGTAATACAAATTTAAAAAATGTATCTATGTTGTAGAGAATGTTAAGTTTCTACTGTTTAAGGAATCTTTGAAATATCATAGTTATCTATGAAATATCTTCTATATAGTATATTTTTAAACGTTATGAAATATTTTTATTTATTTTTGTTGAAATTTTAATCATCATAAAAAATTGTGTAAAATAGGAATAAGAATAATCTATTGTACATTCAATTTATAAAAATATCTTTATGATGTGTATGCCAATATCTATCTAAGTTCTAATTTTTCATTTTAATGTGATACATTATAGCAACATTTCCCCATAACAGATGTCTACATTTCTAATATAATAAATGTGTTCCATATTTTATTAGTATATATTGTACAGATCTCATAAGTCTGAAAAAATGTCGACCGGAAGAAAAATATTGAATGAACACGGGCGTGCAAATTTTTAACGGTAAAATGGTTCATCGACATCAGCGTTTGTAGAACACTTCCGTTGTGCGATAACAACGGCCATGGTGTCCTGCGATAAACGATTTCCTGGTTAATATTTTAACTCGTAGGCTTTAATACTGGTCTATTATATAACATGCATATTGTGATCATTGAAGATATAAAATTCTAATATACTTAACATATTAAATATATGTTTATAGAAAATGACAGAAATATTTTGTGCTAGGTAGCCAAATAATATTTTTCAAAAATGTTTTTAGTACGTTTCGTTAAAATATTTTTAGACGTGAATATTCACAATTATTATTATTCGCATAGGTATGTTGTGTTATAAATTATAATGTAGTAATCAGTTATAATAAATATTTCATAATCAATATACAATATAGTAAAGTATTAACACATGTCTAAGTCATACCTGTTGACTGACATAATAATAATATATAGTAAGTTATATTATTTTTTTTAATCATATTTTCTTATAAAGTTATCCCTGTAGTCATAATACTAGGTAGGTAAGTTGTAATAATTTGTCTAATTTGTCATATAACAATTAAACACTTTTTTTTTTTATAAATCAAAGACAATTATATAGGTAGGTAGGTATTTATATAATATAAATATTATAAAAATATAAAAGATACTAGTATATAATAATATATACTACATAGTGCACACACTATATTTCGTAAAAAAAAATGCGA